GAGTCGCAAACAGGTCCACCTGAGCCTGGCCAAAAACTCTCTATATCTGCTTCACCACCTCAGGGTGAAGTCTCCATTCCCCATGCCTCGGCCCCTGCCTCGACAGAATGTCTGCTCCCATATTGAGATGCCCAGGAATGTGAACTACTCTCAGCGAAAGGAGTTTGCCCTGGGACCACTCAAGGATCTGGTGTGCCTGCTGTAAAGGGATCGCAAACGCAGACCTCCCTGGTGGTTGATTTAAGAAACCGCCGCTGTGTCGTCGGTGCACCAACACATGGCAACCTCTTAGGTCTGGGCGAAAGTTTTTCAATGCTAGAGAAACAGCCAGCATCTCCAGGCAGTTGAAGTGCCACGTGAGATGGCGGCCGCTCCACAGACCGCGGGCTGAGCGGCCACTCATGACCGCTCCTGAACCGGTGAGGGACGTGTCCATCGCTAGCATTACGCAGCGACAAGGAGCTCCCAGCACTGGGCCCTGAGACAAGAACCAAGCTTACTCCACATGTTTAAGACACGTAGGCATCGCCGAGTGACCTTGAGCATGCGGAACGGGTTTCCCTTCAGGGAGAACCCCTTGGTCTTGAGCCAACACTGTAGGCGTCTCATGTACAGCAGGCCAAAAGGTATCACATTAGACGCAGCTGCTATCAGACCCAGCAGTTCCTGGGAGAGTTTCTGGGTTAACAGAGAGTGTTAACTTCTTGTTCCATTACCAGAGCCTGCTCGGGGCCCACCAGAGTGGGAATGATCCCGTTGAAACGAGGCGGACAAGAACCGAACTGATTCAGTAGCCTCTTCTACAGTGTGTAGGACCCACTGCGACACATTTGGCAGAAGTTTCCGCGCTGCCAAAAAGGTCTACTAAGGGAATCAGTCTCTCGAGATTGAGATAATGAATAATGAGATCTCTGGTGTAATCAGCACGGCTAGGTCGGTGCCCTGAAGCGGCTGACCAGCAGGGAATGGCCGAACTAGCTGCCCTAGAAACCTCCCAAGAGGTAGCGAGCCTGTTAATACCGCTACGTTTCCGGGCGGTGACTGAGAGAAGCGCTCGCCGAAGACCGCTGTGCCCTGAAGCACCGTAGGTGACAGGGTTGGCAGATCGATCTCCTGAGAGCACTGAGGAGAGACGGCCACCATATAATGAGGTGTACACCGCTCTTCCCCAGAGGGGGCCGGCCCTCAGAAGTCCTGGGCCTTAGACTTCAGAACGTTTTAGCTGAAGACTATCCAGTGGGAATGACGGTCCGCAGATCCGCCTTCCACTAGAAGCGTTCGGCCCAGGAGCGCCACTCTGACTCTAAATTCTGAGGAATACGAGAAGTGACGCTCCCTATATGAGGAGCTGGAACACAGTTGGTTGGGGCTGCTCCTGCCCAGCAACCCCTGTTGACCACCTCAACCTCCTCAGAGGAAGAGAGGAAAACACATGCTCTTACTCGAGAATTTTTTTTATCCCAAGAGCCCCTGTAGATCTAACTTCTCATAGTCAGACAAATACTTCATTTTATTCCTCAACCTCCTCAGAGGAAGAGAGGTAAACACGTGCTCTTACTCGAGAAATTTTTATCCCAAGAGCCCCTGTATATCTAACTTCTCATAGTTCGATAAATACTTCATTTTATTCCTCAGAATCAAATGCAATCAAACAACCAGACAAGTAAACACGGTCTGGTGTGATAAGATTAATTTCAAAGATCGAAAATGATATATCTAACTTCTCATAGTCAGATAAATACTTAATTTAATTTTTCAGAATTAAATGCAGCCAAACAACCAAACGAGTAAACACGGTCTGGTGTGGTAAGATTCACATCAAAAACTGAAAATGATGTAATACACGCGTTGCCTCGGAAGCGCACAAGCCGCTTGGTCACACAAACAATATCAATCTCCTTGGAGAAAAATAGCTACAGCAGCAGAACTCTCACTCAGAGAGGAAAGGAACCGCAGTGCGGGCTTCCGAGCCTCGAGAGAGAGCGCTGGATCTAGGGAGTGCAGGCGGAGAAAGGGCGAGCCATCTCCAACCCATCCGCTAGATCTACGTGCGATCCCCGCGATCTGAATCGCTGCCATGCCTCAGCAATAGCGGGACCGAACCGCGAGCTCGCAAGCACGGACACACTCCTCGGAGCGTGCCCGGTCAGCGGGGAGAAGCACAATCAGCCACTTATTTCTGAGAGCTGACTGCGCGAGTCTTTTTCTTTTTATAATAGTATTGACATAATGCTTGTGCGACTGTAAAACAGCTCCGCTCCACAGTAAAGCTGCTCATTATAATATTAGGCATAATATGCTTGTGTAACTGATGCTTGTGCAACTGGCGAGCTC